TCTGACAAAGATAACTTAAAGTTTCAATAAAATGAAATTAGAAGACCCCAGTCCTTCAAGGCTGCAACTTAATAGCTCACTGGCAGATGACAGTGTACAATAAATAGCCCTGAAAGTTTGAGTAAAATTTTTAGCATAAGTTACAATTTTAGGCCTGAGCACTCTTACTCTTCAATTTTTTTTCTAAGCTGATTTTTAATAAGTCTTTTTTAGGGTTGTTTGTGTTAAGAGATCACCCTGGATTGTATTCCTTTCAGAAAGGAAGTAGGAGAATAGAAGTTTTGACTAATGTTCTATTAGTTCTAAAATCTGTTTCTGACTCATGAACAATTTCTGGTAATTTTATAGACACATCCCTAGTTTTGGTGTAACAGCAATAGGAGAGTGATTTGCTATTGGTTTGTTTTTTTTACAGCTTGTTGTTTGTTCTCTAGCCTACAGTCCTAGAGATTTTCTAGTGGCATTAATTAGATCTCACCTGGTTAGCTTTTTAAATCAGCAATGGTGGGTTCAATGCTATTATCTAATTCAATATATTTTGAATACTATCAGCATGAAACCATCTGAAAGTGCCTATCCTGAATTACTGTACCTGTTTTGTCTTTTTAAAAATTGGAACAATTTTAGAACAAATGGAAAACAGGCATTTGGAAACAGGCATTGCATTGACGTCACTACATCACTGATTCACACTAATCAGTGCTTCTGCAAAAAGAACACGGAAACCGCTGATTCTTGGATCACTCCAAGTAGACGTATCTCTTTGGTGTTTCCCTCCAAACCATGATCAGGTTCAACCTGGCTTAGTTTTCTGAATCTTGTACAGGAAGTATCCTTCCGCAGTAATCCCAGGAATCGGTTTAGCATACATATATTTACAGGCGTATTAAAGGTTACATTTAGGATTGCAGAAGCTGAACATTCAGAAGCTTACTATATCTGAAATTTGATTAGATGCAGATGTGAAGGAATCCAACTATATGCAGATGTGAAGAATTAGTTTAAGAATAACACATCTGCAGTAATTCAGAAAGCCCAACTCGGGACAATAAACATCTCCAAATAAGAAGAAAGCAGTAAGAATATGGCAAGCTTTGGGACAGGGTGGATTTGATTTAAATCGAGTTGATTTAAATCACAATTTAAATCATGATTTAAATCACTAGTAAAAAGGCTTGATTTAAATCAACTCGATTTAAATCATAATTTTTAAAGAGCAACTGTCATCTCTGCTACTCCTTTGACCCACTGTTGACTCACCGATAGTCCCAGTGTTGCAGAATATACAGCCTCATGCTACTTAACTAAGCTCCATTTCATGCTGAATAAACTAAATTATTCATGTATCTTAAATAGAAAACTATCTTACGATAGATTTTTACCCCAAAAGTTTTTTATTAAAATAAATTTGATAAAAATCAAAAAAATCCGATTTAAATAAAAAAATCGATTTTTTTAATTATTTTTTTTAAAATCATTGATTTTTATCCACCCTGCTTTGGGAACTGGGAAGACCTAGTACCGTGATGGCGAACCTATGGCATGCATGCCAGAGGTGGCACTCAGAGTCCTCTGTGGGCACGTGCACCGTCGCCAGCTGTTCTTCTGATTTCCGGCACACGCATGCGTGCCAGCCAGGTGGTCTTCACGCGTGCCGGAGCGCTGGAAACCCGAAGACCAGCAGGCCGGTGTGCATGCGTGTGCCGGCCACCTGGTCTTTGGGTTTCTGGCGCTCTGGTGCTCAAAGACCAGCTGGATGTCGCACATGCATGCTCCAGAAACCCAAAGACCAGGTAGCCGGCACACACATGCACACCGGCCTGCTAGTCTTTGGATTTCCAGCGCTCCGGTGCGCGCGTTCCAGTTTGGGCACTTGGTGTCGAAAAGGTTTGCCATCACTGAGGTCCTAGTAGATGTTCTGCCAGCTGGCCAGCCTTACTCAAGGTATCTTCATCATCAGGCATGTTCTCTGTGTCTTTTGGGCTACACTAGAATTGTCAGATTCCAATATTTTCATCCTTCAGGAAAATTGCAACTTTAAGCAAAAGGACAGCGGGGGTGGGGTGGGTAGTTGTTCAGCATCACAATCCTTTCATTAGACCATTTCCTTTCTCAGGATGGGACAAAAGCAGCAGGATCACCTGGCCTTGTGTGAGCACAGACTATTCTGAGCATGTCAAAGTGTTGCTTAGTGTGTATTGCCATCTGGTCTCACCTCCCCCTCGCCAGTATTTTTATTGCCATATCTGCAAGAAGCTTCTAGAAAAAAAAACCCACAACTTTTTTTCTAACCAATCTGTCAGACTACAGATAAGAAATAGCAATTATTTCCTGGCGTCAGATGTCACCGCCTGTTCTCAGAGAAGATCTATCAAAGCAACTGATAGCGTAAACTTCTTGGCCAAAGGGAGTTTGCTCACAAATGAATTTATTTAAGCAAAAGATGCCCTCAGATCTTGGTTGATTCTTACTTATCTCAAATTTCCCAGTTTAGACTATGGATTCTCTGGTCTGGTGATTTACCCTTCAAATACTAACTAGGTTCAATCCTGCTTAGCTTCAAAGCTAAGTTCTATCACAAGCTGAAACTTGCATATGTATTTGGAACTAAATTCCACTGCTTTCCATGGGCAATGGGGAGAACCATAACAAACCACATATATATATATATACAGAGCATAACCACAACTCACATCAAATTACTTTTTAATTATCATGGGAAAAATATCCCTGTGTGCTTGAGTTTTTGAATATGCATCCAGTACACACTTTCCTTGAACTAAGATCTATTTAAGATAATGCAACTTACTTTTCTTAGGAAAATTAATAGGATATTTCTGCAATCATACCCTTCTCACCATCCTATTGTATTAACTACTGTGTTTTCCTGAAAATAAGACCCTGTCTTATATTTTTTTGAACCCTGAAATAAGCACTTGGCCTTATTGCCATGCGCTCAAAAGCCCGATTGGGTTTATTATCAGGGGATGTCTTATTTTGGGGAAAATAGGATAATACTCTGGCAAACTTTTATTCCAACATAACATGACCTTCAATTTATGATACACTTTTCTAAAGTCCACATACCAAAGATTTCCATGTTTACATCTCTTGCAAGATTTACAGCCTCAACTGTTTTTTTCAAATATGTGTTCAGAAATGTACAAGTCTGGGATACATATATACAGTATCTTGAATGCTATAACAAATGCAAGTTCAAGAAGTAATTTCCCAGTCTTAGTTAGTTCCCTAGTCAAAACCCGACTATTTAAAATTAAATCAACTGTAATTTGTGATACCCATGAAATCTTTTTTGAATGGTCACTTTGAAGGATGCTCAAATTAACATCAAATTGTTAAACTGGAACCAGTACCACCCCACTATCGACTGTATGCAATTATAATACCCTTTCCCCAAAACTCTGTTGTTTCACAAAATCTTATGGGGCAAGAGCCTAAAAATATAGCCCCTCTACCATCCCCTGAACAGACAAGACATGTTATCCTGCAAAAAAGTATTTTTTACAGCTGAAATCTTGTTCTTTTTGACCCCTTGGTCACCTAGAACAGTGGTCACCAACCTTTTTATCGCCGCGGCCCGCTGAGCGCGCGCAGGGGCGGGGCACGGCCCAGGAGCTTTTGCGCATGGCCCATTGCGCACGGCCCAGGAGCCTTTGCGCTGCAGCGTTCATGTCCCCCGGCCGCTGCACGGCCCGGTGCCAGGTACTCCACGGCCCGGCACCGGTCCGCGGACCGGGGGTTGGGGACCACTGACCTAGAAGACCCCCCAATCTGAGCTATAATGGATGCATCTGATCTGCTTTCCTTTGGAGTCATCTCTCCCCTGGCGAGTTGCTGCATTTATTATTAGGGTGCTAAAGCTGATGATCGGCACTCACTTTCCCTGCTCTCCAGATGTTAAGGTTGTGTAGGAGCTTCTAGTCCAATTTCTCCACTACCAAGATCACCACCCTGCCAGTCACTTGTTCCCTCACAAGCCCAAAATTATGTCTCTATTAATATTTGCACCCTGCCCCAATCCTTATGACTCTGGTCTGTTCAAGAAACAAAACAACAAAATAAAGACAAATATAAAAATTTCTTTTAAAAAAAAAAGCATAAGTGGGGCAGGAATCAAGCACAGCTTGGGAAAATCACAGGGACTAGCAACTCTCTGCTACTAAGCCGAGAGCATAGAGGCGGTTTCTTTACAAGCAAGGAAAATACTGAAGGGATAGGAAAAAGATACGACCCTTTTCCTTCTCTCTAGCGGTTCCGGACTCCTTTGGATATGCATGAGACTTGGTGGGGGGGGGGGGGGGGGGGGGGGGCGTGCAGACTTTCCGACATTTCGCCAACTCGCGACAGCGGGGCTGCGTTCGAGCACCCAAAAGTTTCCGAAAGGGCCCTGCACGTCTGAAGGCTGCCGCTATCGGGGGCACCTTCGCCCCAGGCCGCGCTTCCCTGGGGGCTCCCGCAGAGGCGCTTCTTATGCCCATCCTAAATTCTAAAGAGGATTCAGCCAGCGTCGCCCCTGCCTTCGGCCCTTCCTCCTTCTCCCCAAAGTGCACCTCTGGGGAGCCCCGCATCCGAGTCTCGCAGGGAAGGCGGGGGTTAGTTGCCTCTCCAGCGGCGCCCGATTCGAATCCCGCGTCGGCTACCCACACGCGCGCGCGTTCACACATACATTCGCGCCGGGTTCGCAAGAGGACTGGGACCCGCCACAGCCGCCTCCGCCTTCCAGTTCAGAGCCTATAGAGCCTCGGGATTTCCAATTGGGGTCCAAGAGCCCCACCTCCCCATTTAAAAAAAAAAAAAAGCCCAGGACCCCGGGCCTTATCCTCCCCGCCCAATGGCTCCTTCTCCCGCCAAAGGTTTGGAGGAAGGTGCCCCAGAGGAGGTTTTGCCGCCGATTCAGCCTCCTACCCGTTTCCCCGCTCTGGGTTCCCCTCAGCCCCTCGTCCATCCCGCCACACAGGCTACTTTTTACAGCCCCGGACCTTCGGTTGAGCAGGTGCTCCGTCCGACCCAAGCGGAGTGAGAGAGAAGCGGCGGCCACCAAAAAGCGAAGCAATGAGAAGCCGCTCTTTCCGCCCCGCTGGAAAAGCGGGAAGCGCGCGGCGGCGGCGGCGGTCTCTGGCTGGTGCTGCTGCTCCAAAGCGGAGGGTTTTTATCCCTCGCCTTCCTCGGGGCGGGAGCAGGGAGTCGCTGCCAGGAAAGACGGGGACGGTGCCAAGGGAGGCTCCGAGAGGAGGAAGGAAGGAAGGAAGGAAGGAGATAAATGAGGGAGGGAGGAGATAAGAGGGAGGGAGGGAGGAAAGGGATAAATGAGGGAAAGGAGGGAGGAAGGAAAGAAAGAAAGAGATAAAGGAGGGAGGGAGGAAGATAAATGAGAAGAAGGAAGGACATAAGGAAGGAAGGACATAAAAGAGAGGGATAAAGGAAGGAGATAAAGAAGGGAGGGAGGGAGAAAGGGAAGAGATAAATATGGGAGGAAAGGAGGAGATAAGGAAGGGAGAGAAGAAGGAAGATAAATGAGGGAGGAAGGAAGGAGATAGATGAGGGAGAGAGGGAGGGAGGAAGGATCCAAGCAAGGGGCAAAGGTGCTGAGGAAAGAGTTGCTGGTCACCTTATTCTTCAATTCACCTCCAATTCGTGAGAGCTGCTGGCCAGCAGTCTGGGACTCCCCTGGCCTAAAAAAGGAAGGGAGAGGAAGAGTAAGAAGGCTGAAGTCAAAGAAGAGGGAGCCTCATCTTGGCCTGATTTCACAGGGGGCTTCTGGGAAAAGTTCTGCACTGAGGGGGGGGAGATTTTTTCTTTTCCCCAAAGTACCTATGTTTGGGTGTTCTCTTCCGGAAAACAATTGTAGGAAGAAATATCCTTCTGGGTTCAGCTCCAAGTGGGGAAAAAGACACTGGAAACATGGAGATTGCTTGGAAAGATGGTTTAATGGTGGACAGGATCACATGATTTGAGTTCCTGAACAAAAAAGGGCGGAGATGCTGAGCGTGCCTTGGTTTTATGCCCTCTCTGGCTTTGAACTTCCTGGGGCCCAGGAAGAGTATCCTGATTGGTTGTCAGTCTCCCAGGGGATGGGGGTCTTAGCTAGCCTTGCTGGTTGATGTAATCTTCCCAGGTGCCACGTGGTGAGTTTCTGTTGCTAGATGGGTCCTATTGTGTTAGTTTCTGTTGCTAGATGGGTCCTATTGTGTTGCAGATCATGGTCCATTGACAAAGATTGGAGGGAATTGAGTTTGTGCCTCTGGCCCATTGATAAAGGGTTAGGGGGGCAAGAAGGTGGGAGCTGCTGCGTCTTTAAAACATGCTTCTCCATTTCTCATCCAGGAAAACATAATATTCTGCCTTTTTAATATTTCCTAAAATATTTCATTCTTCTAGGAAAGGGGTGAGTGCTAACTTCCTACAATCCTTCATTTTTTTTTTCAAAACGTGAGTTTTGAAACATGTTCTTGGCAAAAGATTAAAATTGATCAGGTCAGGAAGGCTTGATGAGTGCTTTTAATTGTTCTGATGCAAAGGGGAAGGCATTGATAGAGGCAACAGAAAAGGATTCCTTCAGTGGCTAACAAAAACTTTCAACCATGAAGGTCTAGCAGCCAGGGGAAAAGTTCTGGTAAGAATTTTACAGTATCCAATTTTCCATGCCAATTGTTTCCAGATGTTTCATGTCACTTTCTGTGAGCTTCCAGTCAGGTTTCAAGCAAGCACATGTCCCAAAAATTTTCAGAGCCATGGTTTTCCTTTAAATTACAGGCTGCCCATTTCGAAGGGTTGGTTACTGAACCTGCCCTAGCTCTTACTTTAATGCATCCAGGATTTGTGAGTCCAAGTTGAGGTTAGTCAGTGTGCAATCCAGGCTTTTTTTTTCTTTTTCTTTTTTAGTATTTTAGTTTTTTAAAAAAATTACACACAATGAGCCCTGGGACCTCTACTCTTGAGACCACCAATGCAACATATCTTTCTTTACTGGGCAACTGGGCAGCATCATTTGTGAGTCAAGGTCGGCTTGGGTTTTGGATATCACTTTTTCTGCTATCTCTTCAAGTGGGGGAATTGCCTGAAGGGGATTAGCAGGGAGATATGACTACTTGGGCTTTTAGTGCCACAGAGCAAAAATCAACCAAGCTTTGTGTGGAGGTAAGTGGAAACATGGAGACTGCTTGGAAAGATGGTTTAATGGTGGACAGGATCACATGGTTTGAATTCCTGAACAGAAAAGGGTGGAGATGCTGAACATGCCTTGGTTTTATGCCCTCTGGCTTTGAGCTTCCTGGGGCCCAGGAAGAGTATCCTGATTGGTTGTCAGACTCTCAGGGTGTGAGGGTCTTAGCTAGCCTTGCTGGCTGATGTAATCTTCCCAGGTGCCATGTGGTGAGTTTCTGTTGCTAGATGGGTCCTATTGTGTTAGTTTCTGTTGCTAGATGGGTCCTATTGTGTTGCAGATGATGGTCCATTGACAAAGATTGGAGGGAATTGAGTTTGTGCCTCTGGCCCATTGATAAAGGGTTAGGGGGGCAAGAAGGTGGGAGCTGCTGCGTCTTTAAAACATGCTTCTCCATTTCTCATCCAGGAAAACATAATATTCTGCCTTTTTAATATTTCCTAAAATATTTCATTCTTCTAGGAAAGGAGTGGGTGCTAACTTCCTACACAATCAAATCCAATTTTAGTTCTGAGCCTGGAAAGAAAAAGTCTTTTGCAAAACCCATCTAATCCCTCTGATCTCATCTGTTATTATTATTTATTTTCTTACAATTTTATACTCCCATCAAGTTAGTTGGTTAGCAATGCCTTACAAAAATGCTCTAATACAGTTTGCTTTCTCTCAAAAAATTCCTCCCCCTTCAAAAATGCTTGAAACACTGCTAATTAATCTTCATATTCTCTATTCTAGCCTATTAACGGCATTGGATCTTATTAAGCTAATTGTTCATGTTAGATTTCCTGCAAAACAAGTTGCCCCCAAAGTGACATCTCGGGGTTATAATGCACCAAAAAATAAAATTTGTTCTGCACCTGACCTACTATTTTCTTTTAGAAATATTCTTTTTGAACAGCGTCTCACAGGATGAAATTTTGCTTAGCTGCAAAGTGCCTTCCATCTCTAAGTAGGCATGTGGGTAGATTTGGCAAAGTAAGGAAACATTTTGTTAAAAAAACTGACTTATTTAATAGGTGAAAGCTTTTCCAACAGATGTGGCTCTAGACTTCCAAATTGCAAGCAGTTCCTTTAGACCTGAGGACTTCAAAGAGAGAAGAAGGATTTTTAAACCTGATTGCATTTTTGCAATTTTAAGCTTACTTTGCACATAGAGGTAGTCCTCAGTTTATGATCACAATCGAGCCCAAAATTTTTGTTGCTAACCGAGACACTTAAGCGAGTTTTGCCCCATTTTACAACCTTTCCTGCACAGTTTTTAAGTGAATCACTGCAGTTATTAAGTTAGTAACAAGGTTGTTAAGTGGCTTCCCCATTGAGTTTGCTTGTTAGAAGTTTGCAAAAAGTGATCACAAGACCCCAGGACACTGCATCCGTAATAAATACATGCCAGTTGCCAAGAATTCAAATTTTGATCATATGACCGTGGGAATGCTGCAACAGTTGTAAATGTGAAAAACTGTCATAAGTTACTTTTTTCAGTGCCGTTATAACTTTGAATGGTCACTAAACGAATGGTTATAAGTCAAGGACTACCTGTAAGGTTCATCGCCTGGTGATACCACAAACATTCACAATACATAGAGCAAGATCCTGCACCTTATAATATAGGACTTTTTCCAGAATGAGTCATCTATTAATTCAGCTATTTTGTGTAGAAGTGAGCAATTAATTGATGGGAAAATTCAGGCAGAGAAGTTATAGCTGGCAGTCCCATGGTGAAATTGCCTATAACTTGCCATAGGACTAGAAGCATGCTTCCATCTTGCTATGGAAAGGAAATCAGGAGGAAGTGGCTCTTAAGCCACTTTTTAGGGTACAGCCGTGGTGATGCAGTAGTTAGAAAGCAGTATTTCAGGCTAATTCTGCCAACTGCCAGAGTTCAATTCCCACCAGCTCAAGGTTGACTCAGCCTTCCATCCTTTCTAGGTCAGTAAAATGTGGGTCCAGATTGTTGGGGACAATATGCTGACTCTGTAAACTGCTTAGAGAGGGCTGTAAAGCACTGCAAAGCAGTATGTAAGTCTAAATGCTATTGCTATTGCTACATCTTGATGCTGGGACCTCTTTCTCTACTACCTGTTGATGAGCCTCTTCAAGACTTCCACTCTCCCCTTTCATGAGTCATTAATCTTAATTGGATATGGACTGGATTTCTTCAAATGGATGCCTGTCCTCTGGCAGCCCTTTCCATTGAGGACTCTCCTTTAAAAATAGAACATGTGTGGCCATCCTATTCCTTACCTCTGGACCCTTTCAGTACAGCGTGTCTGGAGATGCAGTGGAAATCATGCCCTTCCCTCGGCTGCTGCCTGGAATTCTCTGCAATGGATTAAATATATCATCAGCAAGCAACCTCTTTCTTTGTGGTTTCAACTCACCCGGTGTCTCCTCCTCCAATCAAACATTTTGATGGGTACTACTAGGTATCACCAGTATTTTGGCCAAAGTTACTAATTAGCTAGTAGTTACTAGTAGCTACTAACTAGCTATTACCTAGTGATAGGGAGAGGGGGCTTGCTGAAAGTCTTATCACCAAGGAAATGTCATCTTCAGAGACCTTCAGCCTTCTTGGTGATGGCCCCCTTCCCATGGAACAGCTTACTCCCAAGAATCCAGATAAACTTACCATATTTTAGACAACTATAAAAAAATGACTCTTAGAGAAGTTGCCTTACGATTTTATGAGATGAGCAGAATGCTGTGCTTTGCCACTGTGGTGCCTAAATTCAAGAATAACCTCTCTTTAGAATTTGGAGCAGCCTCTCTATGATAGTTTTCCAGAAACGTGAAAAGATTAAACTCTCTTAAAGGGGCATCAGGGAATGACTATTTACTGTCTTTTCCCTTATGTCATTTATTAGCTATACTATTCTTATAGCTGATCTGCATTGTATTCCTTTGATTTATTGTGTGACTTGGTACTGTATTTAAGTGTGCTGTTGCAAGCTGCCATGGCTCTAGAAGATACAGATGCAGGCATACAGATTTGATAAGAATCAAATGAATATACTGTAATATTGGTGTCTTAAGAAAAATGGGGCTCGCAGGAAGTACTACACAGCAGCTAGAATCTCTCCTTTATTGAAAACCAAGCAGATTAAATAAAGATATAAAAATCTGTCTTTGTTTTTTCATTGGTTATCTAAAGAATCAGTTTGTGTAGTTTGATGTCAGTCAGGTTACATGAAGCACTGCGAATCCCAAAGAATAATTAACTGTCAAAGATTAACTTCAGCACAAACATAAGAGTGAGAAGGAGTATTCTCACACAGGATGGATCGACTGAAACTTGCTTACTTGTTAAACATAGGATGACAAATAAAACCTATCTTAAGATTCAGAGTGCT